AAACCCTTGTCTCCTAGTATTCTAGTCCAACATTCAGACCATTATACCACATTGGTTTTCTATCCACTCTGTTATTCTCACATATTTATCATGGAATTCTATACATGTCTATATGATGAGACTTTGGTCCTGCTAAATTTTTGTGAGAACTGCATTACAAAATTAAGAGAAGTGTGTAATTCCTAATGCACATATTAGCCAAGGAAGTGCAAATTAGGTCAGCCCATTTAAACTTGTGGACCAAATGAAATTGTTTCCTATCTCCACTGTGTGGTTGCTCCCGTACAGCTTCAGGAAATGTCTATGACTTGTGATTATGTTTAGGGGAAATTGAGGAGATGTCAAAGTTATCAATTTTTCAAGAAAAATCTCTTAGTAACAGTAAAAATGTTCTTGTGAACACAACATAGTTCACAGCATGTACATTTCTGTTCTAAATGACAACACTAGAAACAATCCGAACAACTGAACTGTGGAATTCCAGTTGGCTATGCAAGCAAAAATGTCTAATAGCTTCATTATCTAAGCAGGAATTTCACCCAATTATATATTTTCTTGGATGAGGAATTAGAGCAGATTGGAACCATCTGGGATTTGTACCATGATCTCATCTAACACAGTTCTAGAAGCAGAACTTCATAAGTCAAGGGAGGCAATACTAAAGACTATGTGACTATCAAGTCAGTCTTAAAATGTGCCATGCCAAATTCTAAGAGCCTAACTGAATGAGAAAAGAAAGCCAAAATGAAAGGAGAGTAGCAGCTTTCTCTATGTCTCTCCACATGCAGTTGCAGCACTTCTGTTCTCCTTCCAGAGGGAGATGGTCATAGAAATGTGCTGTTTGTTTTTCAGGATGACAAAAGAACATTTTGATGACAATCTCCCTCAGGAAGAGAACGGAAGTGCTACAACATCATGTAGAGAGGCATGGAGAAAACTGCTATGCTTCTGTTCCATTCTGGCTTTCTTTTTTCATTCAATAAGCCTCTTAGTCTTATCAGGACAGAGAAGAACAACAATGATCTGATGTAGAATAATACATCATACCAGTATAACTGAGATGTGATGTATTGACAGCTAAAATGTATAGCTTGGGTGTAACTTCAGAAAGGCAGTATATATAGCATCCAAGAATATCGGTACCCTGTGTGTTCCACTGAAAATTAAAAGAATTGTGTGCCATTATTTATAATCAGCAACATGATCCCATGGCCTCATTATTCAGGTGCTAGTTAGCTAATCCAGGAAAATGACATGTTTTCCAAACGGCATCTCAACACTGCTAGTGTTGATTTATTTATAGTGCTGTTGTAGTAGCAGAGATTTCGTTGCTAAAAATGCCAGGCATCCATCTATCAGCCACCTCCGTCTCTGAAAACTGACTCGAGCTCACCTTACCATTCTGGTATGTAGCTCCTTGTAGTTTGCAGGAAGTTTGCCATTAATCCCAGACCCAGAGCAGAGACTTCATCATAAGGATTTTATTGAAGATTACATAGTAAAGAAAAAAACTATATACATATCCATCTTGCAGAAAACTTGAATACCGGAACACAACTGTTGTTATAAGATAGAACAAAGAACTCTTAGCCAAACCCTCAACTCCTCCCATGGGTAGATACCTCTACAGACAATTTGCTGAACAGCTTCTAGCCCAGCCTCTTGTGTGTCATGTGTCATGTGATCCCGGTTCCCAAAACAACAAAGATGATCTCATTGTTGATGTCCTGTCTGCCTGTGTTTTCAGAACACTGCGACCTTGTGTGTAATTATTTACACTTTGCACTTGTAGGCCCAAAATCTTTCCAGTAGAAAATTTCCCACATCTGTACATATCCACTTTGACTGCAAATCCCATCCATATTCCAACAGCTAGGTACTTGCACAGTGTCTCTGTGTGACACTGTGTGCGACACTGTGTGACATTGTGTGGTGGCTTAGTGGTTAAGGCACCAATTCTGATGATTGGAAGATCAGAAGGTTGGCAGTTCAAGGCCTGAGTGCTGCATGATGGGGTGAGTCCCCATCTCTAGTCCCAGCTTCTGCCAATCAAGCAGTTCGAAAGCATGCAAATGCAAGCAAATAAATAGGTACCACTTTGGTGGGAAGGTAATAGTGTTCGGTGCACATGACCCCCAGAGTAGTCCTCAGACAATGCTGGCTCTTTGGCTTAGTAACAGAGATGAGCACCGTCCCCTACAGACGGTTACGACTAGATATTCATGTCAAGGGATTACCTTTACCTTTTAGTTCAGGACCTCATGTGGTATAAAAGTGTCCTTCCATTTTCTTTTCAGCACTGTGTATGACTTTAGCACCGTGGGCATATGCCCAGTCCCCCCTAGGTATTGTGGTATTGGTAACACAGCCAGTGCTGACAGATGCTGGGAATTGAGGTTCAAAAATATCTAGAAGGCTGCATATTGCCCACCTTTGTTGTCAAGGCAAAGGTAGATATTTCAGTAATAGAGATGGAGAAGGGTCATTCACAGCTAGGTTCAAAAATATAATTTTTTGATATACTCAAGACTGTGGCTATAATCCTATAAGTACTTTACCTAGGAGTAAGCCTCGTGGAACTGGGTAGGACTCACTTCTGAGTAAAGATGTGTAGATTGCATAGTAAATTACAAAAAGGGTGATGAGTTTTAAAATACTTTTTTTAGCTCTATCAAATGGTAGTACAAACAAAAGGCAGTTCACACAATTAACTTTTCTCCACACCTTTCCATGTCCACCATGGAGCCTCCTGAACCTATAGGAAAAGTCTTCCCAGGATAAAATGCTTGTCAGGGGTAGCTATTGGGGTGAGGGACACAGTGAAGACCCCAAATAAGAATTCCACCACTCCAATTGACTTTTTCCACAGTCCCCAATTTCTGGCATTATAATTGCCATGAGTCAGAAATGACTTGAAGGCACACAACAACAAAATTGTTTAAAACTTCAGTTAAGCATTAACTGTCTCATCCACAGGGTCACCATGGTTCATGATTGACTTGAGGATAATTAACAATAATAAACAATAAATAACAATAAACAAGAAGGACATGTAGAAGGGAAAGATTGCTTGTGCAAAGTGACTTCAGCTCACACAACCCTGGATGCAACCCAGGAGGGTCACTAGGACAGGTGTGGCTAGCACCTGGTGACATCATAAAGGGGTGTGACACCACTTCTTCCCAAATATCTGTCTTTTGGCAGAAATGGGTTATGGCATTTGCCTGCATTCCTTTAAAATGCTGAAAGGAAGGTATGAATGAGGCATGGCTCAGTGGGATGAGAAAGAAGAGGCACCAGTTTTTAAAAATATATATATTAAATTTTAATAAATTATACAATAGATTTTACATATATACATAATTTTGTTCTTTTCAAATTTTCTTTAAAAACATCCCATCTTACCAAATTTTCACTTTAACCACATAAAACTATGTACACGTAAATACATTTAGGCTAAACATATGATATTGTAATCTAAAGGTATAATTTTAATTTTGCAAGTTGTTTTTGTCACAACTATTACCATTACATTCAGTGACATAAAGGAGTAAAAAAAAAAAAATTACTAAGGATTCTGTATGGTGTGGTATGGGAGTAAGTCAGTGCCCGGGGGCATGATGCCCACCATAGTGATGCTACTACCTACTGTATTTACATGATTGGATATTAAAATACCATTCAAACGTCACAATATCTAGGGGGGGACATCTTGGTTTTCTAATAACTTGAAATAGCATCCCAATGGGGGGGGGGGACTCATGCTTCCTTTATTACTCATTTCTCATATTAAAATCACTGTGAGCAGCCAAAATAAAAGGCTAATATTAGATACAGCAAGCATGAAGCCTATGGAAAAAATGATGATCATAGCAGTCAACAATGTATCCCGAGCTGAATTCTCCTTAGCCTTTCTACCTCTCCCAAATTGATCAGTTACGTTTGCTTATGTGTATTGGGTTAATTTATATATGTTACTTGCAAATTGTTTTTACTATGGAAACCTTGGCTAAACACATCAAAAGGAAAATGCCTGCAACACAGCTGTTTTTCACCTGCCAGAAACAAATGACACAATACTCAATAATCACTTGAGCATCATGATAGGTTTGGGGCAATTTCTGGGACTTGCTCATGGGGTGAGAAAAAAAACAACCTTTAGCATTTTGTGGCAACCTCAATCAATCTTGCACCCACCAAAGGACTATAATTCCCATAATCTCCAGCCAGCCCTTATCCATGAGGACTGGGGAATAATGGGAGCTGTAGTCCAAAATCTCTTCCAGGTTGAGGTAGGCTATTTAGAGAAAAATCTGATCATTCATTCCTGTAGGTACACTCTGGCAGGATGTAGAATCCACCAGACTGTTCTTAAATCAATTCAGTGCCCACAAGATGGGACATGTCCAGAAATATGGATGCCTGGGCAGTGTGGACTAAGTCCTCTTGATTCAACTCATGCAGAAAGCAGCTATCTTCATAAACAGGAGTCCAAGGAAGAAACAGAAATTGTATTCCATGGATAAACCTTCCTAGATCAATCCACAGATGAATTCTCCATACTACATGTAGAGAAATACCATTTCTCTACTGTTGAATGGGTACCGTTAATGAGTGGATCCAGCTACCTTGGTTTTGTTGGGAATCCTGCATCCCTGGAAAAACATTGGTAGTCAGAAGAAAAGATAAGGGGACAAAAGGAAAAGGTTATTTTCAGCATCATCACCATTTCCATTTTTATGGTCCTTTTGGTACTTTTTGTTGCCAATCCTTGTGGGAGAGGGGAAGGACTGATACTTGAGGACTCTAATGAGTTGAGAGGTGATAAATAAATCCCTTGACTAAATACTTTGTTAGGACCTATTGTGAAAAGGATCAGTTGTGGTGGTGGTGGTGTGCCTTCACATTATTTTGATTTATGGCAACCCTATAATGTTTTTTTGGGATTTTTTTGGAGCTGAGAGTGTGTGACTCATCCATGTATACCCAGTGGATTTCCATGGCTGAGCAGGGAATCAAACCCTGGTCTTCAGAGTTGTAGTCCATTGCTCAAACCATTATACCATGCTGGCTCTTGAAAACATCAGATTGGGGATTAAACTATTTTAACCAGGTACTGTCTTACAGGTTTTTATTGCTGTTGTTGCCTTACAGTTGTGTTTGGAAATAATCTTTTAGGATGTTTTTAAAAACACAAATCACACTCCTTTAAGGGATCTCATGAATTGTCTAGCCTGATTTTCTATCTGGTACTTAATCTATAAAATTCTCAAAGTGCTTGTGTCCAGCCTTTCTTGGAAACATTCGGTGAAGGCATGCTATAACCTTCCTAGGCAGTTTATTCTATTGCTGAACTATCATTATGGTTAGAACATCACCTCTACATCTGGTTTTTTATAGTGCAAAACAATTATTAATGTTTCATACTTCGCCAAAAGGATGGTAATGGGTGGCCTCAGATGACACACACACAAAAAGCAGAAGTTTGGAGATATCAATATTACCCATGGGGAAATAAACATTTTCTCCACACATTCCAAATAGTGACCATGAGTTCATGTGTGTGAGAGAGGGTCATCTCTTTGATGAAGGAGAAACACATAGCTCTGAATTTTATATGAACAGAGAATTCTGATAAGAAAAAAACAATCTGGTTTAGTATTCAGTTTATTTGAAAGCACCCAGTGAGGAACCCAACATTCCTTGAACAGTCCTTAAATAGTTATTACAAAGTACAAGTGCATTTTAATAACTAGCTGTGCATTTAAGATAAGTACATTCAGTATTTTTATCTTATTAATTGGGACAGGGGAAGGAGGAGAAATACAGAATTCCCTGGTGCATAAAATAGAACATGAAGGATTATAAAATTAAGGTAGCAATTCCATACCAATTTGTCCAGCTCTGGGAAAGGGGACTGCCCTTAGGGCCAACCTGAAACATATCCCCCCTTTAAATTTTGGAATTGGGAGGGGATGCTCTTTGAGAAAGCCTTCCCTAAATTAAGCATAGATAGACCAGTAGCAAACCAGGAACTGTGGCTTGTACTTAAGGCTTGAGTGGCTCACCCACAGCTAGAGAGATGGGGAGAGGGAGAGGGGATTGAGTCCATACTGAGGCAGGCCCCTATGCAGCTTTCATGGCAATAAAATGGACCTGGTTTAACCCATACCTTGTGCCTCCTCTCTGTTAGTAAACTGTGGTGTTTCTAGCTTGAAATAGTTTAACTGGAATTACTTGAATAACTCATATTCACTGGAATTAACTAGAATTTAATTTCTTTTTGTACCTTTTTTTGCAATATACACAGTTAGTAAATTTGCATTTCACGTCTAACTTTGGAGGAACATTTTGGGATGAACAAGATTAATCCTTCCCCCTTGCCAACATTATGGGAATAAAAATGTTTTATCACTCCTGGTCAGGGAAAACAAAGTCCCAAAAGCACACATAGTATTTATTACAGTCATAGATAAGTCTCAATGCCTTCCCATGCATTTTAGCCTCCCAAGTGAGTTCAGAAGAAGTTTTCATTTCACTGCAGATGATCATAAACTTGGAGACATCCCTTTGTTTTACAATCTCCTTTGTCTGCCATGTATACTTTTCCCTTTTTTTTTGCAACTTGGTCAGTTCATGACAGCAGAGGAAAGAAATTTCAGATGAGAAGCCTGGCACTGAGCCATCATGCACCAAGCCAAAATTTAGAGGAAGGATGCATAATTGGGTTTGGCTTGTAATGGCTTGGGGACTTTCAATTTAGGTCACTTTGTCCCTGAATTTCTTGAATTCACTGTGAACAATAGCCTCAAGGGTCCCTGGCAAGGCTCTGAGAAAACCTACATTTGATCTAACTGGCATTTGATGCTAGAACTGCCAGGTTTTTCTTCAAAACCTACAGTGGTGTTCAAGAGGACCAGGAATCTGAGAGACTGTCTGGTGCATATAGATTTTGCAAACATGAAAAGAAACACTTGTACTGTTATTCAGTTACCAAGATTGCAGGGACACCATCCTTGTGACCGATACCTTTATTGCAAATTTACTTCTTATTCATCTTGTTAGCATCAATGATATTCTAGTCAATAACTCCCTCATTCGTAATAGTGTTAGTGTCATTTGTATTGCCATATACTCCCTACATGGAGATAGGGGAATACCTAGGATGAATTGTTTGATGAAGTTGAACATTCTGTTGCAAAACAATACAAGCAGAATGAGATCTTTTTTAGGGATCATAAAAAAGACTGAGTATAGTGTCATGGTTTGAGTGTTGGACTATGACTCTGGAGAGCAGGGCTCAGTTCCCTACTTAGCCATGGAAACCCACTGAGTGACCTTGGCTTATAGGGTTAGTGTGTATCATTGGCTGCCAGTCACAATGGGCACAATTCAAAGTGCTGGTTTCGACCTATACGACTTGGATCCAGGCTATTTGAAGGACCGTATCTCCCTGTATGAAGCCCCTAGAGTATTGAGATTATCCGGAGAGGCCTTTCTCTCTATCCCACCACCCTCTCAGGCACATTTGGTAGGAACAAGAGAGAGGGCCTCCCAAGCTTTGGAACTCCCTCCCTAGAGTGTCTAGGGTGGCTCCATCCCTGCTATCTTTCTAGCATATGGTAAAGACATTCTTGTAAGGGCAGGCCTTTGCAAATTGATAAGATCTGGGATTGCTGTGCTATTTCAAATTTTAAGGCTTGTATCATAATATTCTGTTTTAGCTCATACCTGTTTTAACTTTTAAACTGGTTTAATTGTTTTTTACATTTTATAATTATACATTGTAATGTCTGGACTATTTTTTAATTGGATTGTTTTAAATGTGTGTTTGCTGCCCTGAGTCCCTATATTGGGAGAAAGGTGGGATATAAGAAGAAAATAATAATAATAATAATAATAATAATAATAATAATAATAATAATAATAATGTGGAACACAATGTAACATCTAAAGGAGACCATATAGCATGAATCATAAATGCATGTGCATCCATGTCACAATTCTACACTAAGGAGTTGGAAACTCATGTCTTGTGGATTACATGTGCCTTCCTGGTCATTTGTGAAATCTCCTACCCAAATTCTAGCAGACCTGTAGTCCTAACTGAAAACAGTTAAAAGACAGCTCTAACATGTTAACATGTTAAAAGACAGCTAGTCTCAGAGTAGTGGCAGTAGAAAAATTTGCACAATGAGGCAATAGGCACAAGACCCATAGGACAGGAAGAATTAGTGGCGGCTGCTCCAGCTCTCAGAATGAATGTAATGACATGCTGAAGCAATTATGCACATCATCCTACTCAGTTATAGATTGCTTCAGTTTTTGTTGTTGTTAACTGCCTTGGATTCAATCTAAACTCATGGTGACCCTGTGGATGAGATATCACCATGTCTCCTATCTTCAACTGTTCTGCTCAGCTCTAGTAAGTTCAGACCCATGATCTCCCTGATTGAGTCTATCCATCTGGCATGCAGTCATTCTCTCTTCCTATTGCCTTCTACTTTCAATAGATCATATATTAATTCCTCTTAAAAGTAACTTTCTAGACTCTGTTTGTTACTTAGACCAATTTGTTCCTACTCCACATCCTTAACCAACAGACTATCTTGATAACATATGTGCTTGGGATAATTCTACACAGCACAAAGGAATAGAATCAGATTTGTATTAATTCTGTGAGTTGTAGGCAGTAAACCCTTTGGGGAAAGACCCTAGTTTAACCATTAATTAACTTAGCTCAGTGACAAGAAGAATGGACTGATCTATATTTTCATATGCTCAATATATGTACAAGAGTCAATGGAAATGGAAAAGGAGTGGAAAAGGAGTTAAATGGAAATGCAAAAGGAGTGAGAATAAATTCAGACCATAAATGGATTAAACAGATGTAATGAGGATAATAATACATTGTAGAAAACAAGTTAAGAATGGGAAGACAGATTTCTGGGATATGATCAAACTTTAGGAAAGATAAGTGACGTTTACGTGTAAATTTCATTACTAAAATTGATTGCTGTGACTATAGAAAAATATGTCTGTACAGCTGTGTTTCTTGAGAGAGATTTCCATTCTTACTTAAATCAGACAGCCTATGCTTATATCAATAATAATGAATGTCTGTTTGCTATGTAAAGAACAAATGGATAGATCCTAAGGTAGCTGCTGTAATGTTGGTCTCATGCAGTATAACTAAATAAGGGTATTTATAAATCTCATCCTAATAGCAATTCAGATAGAATCTTGTTGAGCTAAATACAAGAGAAAGAAATGTTCTGTCACCAAAGTCTCCTCAGCACATTTGATGCTGACATGGAGTCTCTGCTGAAATTTGGACTGTGCTAAAATTGGCCTTTCAGTATTTCAGCCTTGCTTATGGGCTGAGAATTTGGGTGACTTGGACAATTTTCTGTTCTTTTTCTTTTAAGAACATTTTGCAAACTGTATTGTTGGTAGCAGCAACAGAGCCTTGGTTTTTTGTCAGTCCAGCAGCTATTTTCTTGGTTTAAAATTGACTCCAGATACAACTCACCCCAGGGCAATGCAGAAGTGGGGACATGGAAGCTGACAGATAATAATTTTATTTCCCCTATGTCTGAAAATTTAATCCAATTCTGTAAAAATGAAGAAGAATTCTATTGGGTAGTTGCAAAGACAGTTACATTTGTGACTGCCTCATATTCACAATCCCTTATTTAAAAAATACATAGGAACCATGAAAGACTCCAGTCCCCACTTACCAGTTTGCAGCCACTGCAATTGATGGGGATTTGTTCCCCTGTCATTCAGGAAGCAGCTGACTGATATTCCCATCCATTCCTTCTGTGAGCAATCACTGCTGGGTGAGGGGATTGCAACAGGAACCCTGCTTCTGCCTATCCCTACAGAGATTGCTTGCATAATGGGTGGGAACATTATGAGCATCCTCTTGAGTGACAGGAAAACAGACCTCCATTGATCACAGATGACTGGTAAGTAGGGATTTGAGGGTCAGGGTCAGGCTGGGGTTCACTAGGTAGCTACATCAACTACTGTGGTTACACAGCAACACAGTGCCTAGAGGATTCTGGTC